GGGGGCTAGCGGCCCATTTCCCGAGGCTAGCCAACGAAGCTAGAGAAATGGGTGGATGAGTCTGTGGACGCACAGACCTGTACCTGCAAAGAAACTGTTGCTCACGCTGTCCACTCCCTTGTTTGGTTTCATGGTCCTTGCATGATAGATCCCAAAACCGTGTTCTTCACCGTCGTGCAGCTGCGCCACCCCCGCTTTCGGCGATTTCTGAGCGATTGCAACACCTTTTTTAAACGTCATCAATTTTTCGGACTCACTCGCCTTTCTGTTCCCTCACTCTTTTCCTCGGGGAATTGATGTAACTGCAAACTCCTTGTCTAAGTGTGTGCCGCTCTGCCGCCCCACTGGGTGCAGAGTGTGATCTCCCGCAATGGAGCACTGAGACCATCGGGAATCACATACTGACAGCGTTCTCTGCACACGTTGGATTATCTTTTCTGGATTGATTGTTTCACCCAATGAACTTCCTGCCGCAACACCGCCGGGTTTACAGAGATTCAACAGCCGCCGGGCTTACGGTCATATATATGTGTGCCACACACACAAGCCCCCCCACCTTGCACGCGAATTCACACTTTCATCCCACCCGCTATTTAGGGTAACAGAAGGAAATGGTACTCGACACACTTGTATGTCGGTGCCTTTCCTTCTGTTTCTCCTGTCCTAGTCCTATCTACCCGGGCGGCTTAAGACTAATGTCCCGCTCGCTAACTAGTGCCTTAAATTCATACCACTAAGTAGTCAGTAACTAGAAGGTTTCGTAACTAGTGGGCCTCGTCACTCCACCTACCTTCCTCTTTTGCCCTCTTCGGCTTCTCTTTCTGTTTTTCTTTCCTTTCTTTCTAAGGCTTTTAGGTGGCTAGTAAATTTCTTTCGAGCGCCGATATCGGCGCTCTGTGTGTGTGTGTGTCACACTCTGTCCCGAAGAGTTTTGTTCAGTGCAGGGGGCTAGCGGCCCATTTCTCGACGCTAACCAACGAAACTAGAGAAACGGGTGGATGAGCCTGTGGACGCACAGACCTGTACCTGCAAAGAATCTGTTGCTCACGCTGTCCACTCCCTTGTTTGGTTTCATGGTCCTTGCATGATAGATCCCAAAACCGTGTTCTTCACCGTCGTGCAGCTGCGCCACCCCCGTTATCGGCGATTTCTGAGCGATTGCAAGACCTTTTTTAAACGTCATCAATTTTTCGGACTCACTCGCCTTTCTGTTCCCTCTCTCTTTTCCTCGGGGAGTTGATGTAACTGCAAACCCCTTGTCTAAGTGTGTGTGTGTGTGCGCGCGCTTAGATGTACGATCACTTGCTTGATAGATATTTTTTTCAACTTGATAGTATGCTTCCTACCGCTTTTCGATATGTAGTGCGAGGACGACTGCGACCAAAAGAAGGGGAAGGGGCAGTCCGAGGCCTTTTTCAATCTGCTTGACAACATCTTATCGAAAAATGGGAGGGGGGTTGCACCTTGTGTGCGAATGTAGACGGAAGAGTGCGACAAGCTTGGTGAGTGGTGCTTGTGGGTGTTTGGACGGAGATGGTTCAACTTGGTAGCCAGATGTCGCCAGGAAATCTCTGAAAGTCTCTCAACCTCTCATCTCATGTGTTTTGGAGGCTCCCGCAGTTGTGGATCGTGAGCGTAGCGTGCTGGCCGGGCACTTGGAACGGGACATTTGACAAGAGAAACAAGAGCAGGGCCATGTGAGACTTGTAGTCCTATAGGGGATATTAGAGAGGTTCACACATTGTCGCCGCTGCAAGGGTTGAGTGTTGGTGAGGCCAACGCTCATGGGTTGTGTCCAACTTCGTACGGGGGGGAAAGTCCAGTGCCAAAATTGAAGCAAAATTATGCAAGCGTGCCGTTAAAACTGCTACTACCCCCCTGGCCTTGCAAGGAAGAGCGGAAGAAGGAAAAGGAACAATTTGAGGCACTTGCTATGAGCGATTGAATTTGTGTTGAGTTGGCCGGGGCAACATTTGTGTCGAGTCCAGCATTCACACCAACGTTTGATCAAATTGGTTGTCCCCCGCCTTAGTGGATGCGCATGTTGGTTCTTAGTGTAACATGTACGACACCGACACCCTATGGCAAGGTAGATTTTACAGGATGCGACACTTTATACTTTGCCATCCCCATCCATAGCCCTCCCTTTGCCAGGCTGAAAAGGTCAGAATGGAGAGCCAATTGCACGAGGCCATTGTCCTTTGCTTCATGGGACTCTGTGAGTATATCTTCCCATAGCTTGTGCAACTGGTTGATGCAGGCCAAGGCAAAGGAGGAGAGCAGTGCCGTGCAAGTTCAAGCTTTGAAGGCTCAGAGCTTGACGGGCTGTTGGCTTGTGCCATGGGAGGGCATCCGATTATTTTTTCCTCCCAATGTGCAAGGATGACACAGTTGGATTGAAACTTGCTCCACAGTCAACAGCCTCAACAATGCCGTCAATCACCAAATTTCCCAGCATGGCTCGAGTGAAGGACATGAAGAACGGGTGATTTATTTTCGTGGTGTTCTGTTTGACGACATGTTGATGCCGACGCCCTTTTGCGCATGCTGGTGAACTTCAATTGCTGGTGGTGTACCCGTGCCCCAGCCACAGGACAGTCTAGTCAAGGAGGAGCAAAAGAGAAAGCGACTGGAGGAATGCATGGTGGTCGAACATCCTTCCTCGAGCTTTTGTTGACTGCCACATTTGCACCTGCATGCTGCGTGAGGAAGAGCTGCAGAAGGCAAAGCACGAGTTTGAGGCAAGTTTGTGTGGGTGATGGAGCGGGCGTTGTGGAGATGACTCCCAAAATGGCAACCTGCCCTGATTTTGGATAAAACTCAAGCCTGTTTAGCTGGTTGGAGGCCAAGGCCAAGGAGGAGAGTGCTGTGCCAAGGGAAGCTTTGAAGGCTAAGGGCCTTCGAGCAGTTTGTTTCATTTCTGGTGTTATGATGTGTTATGTGCTTTTATCAACGTTGAGTTCCTGATTATTTGATCTATTCATGTTGAACTGGGCTTTGCAATTCGCATTGTTTTTT